ACAGCACAACTCTATTCAGGTGAGTAGGTCATCAGGTAAGCTCTTATTTCTTGACTTTCAGTATTTATGATTTACGGTTGTGTGAGGCAATGTGTTGCTATTTATAGACATTGGCCATGTGTGGCATGCATATTATATTTTCTAGCGGCATGCAGGTTGGTTTTAGTCTAGTATACGGAGGAGACTCTCACAAAATTTTTCCAAAGTCTCTAAGAATAAACATTCGAGGACGAAATTTCCTGGGGGGGGGGGATTTCTGTTACACCCTATATTTTCGTACGTAAAAGTGCGTCGTGAGCAAACTAATGTAGGACCAAAAATGCGATCATCTTTGAAAATATATAATGTAAGTTAATCATGTTACATCGGAGGTTACAAATATTTAAGATCATGAACAACAAGTACAAAGAGGGTTGGAAGGTTCAAAAGCTAAAGGAATTGAAGAAAATAATGTTTCGTCGAAAGTCGACAAGTTGAGAATGTTATAACATGTACTTTTGGGGTGAGACCAGGGTATTTAACATGATAAGCAGGTTATGTTATGGGTTATGTTAGTCGTATAATAGTCGTGTATTATGTTTTAAAGTCAAGCGAGTGGTGGAACAAAAGTCGATAAAAATCATCACAAGTTACGTTAATAAGTTTTACTGAAACTTTGGGTCAAATGTAACTGCGATTTTCTCCTAATATACTTAGAGTTATAGGGTCTTCCACCCATCAAATTGAATATATATGAGTCTATTTACTAACTCATTAAACCGTTTGTCAATACGATATCGCAGTAGAGCGATAGGGGCGTTTTTGTGAGACTGCACAGACTGTCAACTACTTGCTTAAATGAAAATCCAAAATTGGGCCAGTTCGAGTCGTCCAAATATGGGCTAGTTTGGTTCGTCCAAAGAGGCCTTTTTAAAGCCCTATCTCCTTCATATATTAGACTGATAATAATACATAATAACCAGACATAAGATCTGCAAAAATCCTCCCAAAAATTGCCCACAAACCCTAATTGATTTTTTCTCCCTTTCAAGTTCTAATTGGAGGCAAAACCTAGAGTTTGAAGAACCAAGATAGGAGCTGAGTTATCCAACAAATAAGGTAAGTTTACTGCTCTCTTTCATCCATTTTATTCTGCTGTAAATGCATATTACATCGTTATATATTTGTAATAACTCACGGGACGGTGATCGGAAGCCGTGAGTTCGAGTTATTCACTTGTAGCGGACTATTTTGTGTTGCTGTTGGGCTGCGTGTTTTACTACTATTTTGTGAAGTTTTGGAGGAGGAAGGGTGTGTATAAATACCACATAAATGCAGGGTGGTGGGCTAGTCGTTTATTGTAATATTTTTGTTCTGTTTGACACTACTACGATGGTCGTTTTGTATATGAAGAGATTGAGGTGTGTTGGGCTGTTTTGTAGTATTTTGTGGTGTATACAAGGTTGGAAAATAATGTATATATGTTTTTATTGTTTCATTCTTGTATTGTTGGTGTTATCTTGAATTTGGAGGAAGTAAGTATTATAGGGGAGATGCTGCCCGTTTTAATACAAAATAAGCTTGTTGTTCGTTGTGCGATAGTTGTACCTTTTGTAACTTAATGATACTATTATTATCGTTGTTATATATTAAGGAGCGAAGAGGCGAATTCAACTTGGTGATTGGAAAGATTGTGATAAGGTATGTTAAGGCTAAGCCCTTCCTTCATTTTGGCATGATCTCGTAACTACATGTGTTTGATAACGAGGCATAAAGAGAAGTTCATACTCCCAAATTTATATACATTATCCCAGTCTCATAAGTTACAGTATTCTCCCTTATCGGGACTTTATTTTTAATTGAGTATTGTCTTCTTCCAGTCAAGAGAGCAAAGTGTGTGTGTGTGTGTGTGTGTGTGTGTGTGTGTGTGTGTGTGTGTGTATATATATATATATATATATATATATATATATATATATATATATATATATATATATATATATATATATATATATATATATATATATATATATATATATATATATATATATATATATATATATATATATATATATATATATATATATATATATATATATATATATATATATATATATATATATATATATACAGTATTACAGTATTTTTACCACCATCGAGCTATAATCGGGGGGCAGGCCCCTATTGGGCAACCTCTGATCAGATGGTAAGTTATATACCGAGCCTACTGTGGCCGAGCGCCTATGAGCGAGCCCAGGATGGCCGAGAGACAGAGCCTAGTATGGCCGAGCGCCTATGAGCGAGCCTACTACGACCGAGAAGATACATGTACTGAGCCTTATAGGGCCGAACATTTATTTTACTTACTATATTGAAGGAGTTGAGTCAGTATCAGCAGGTAAGTATATCTCCAGATCAACTTTGACTCCTAGTTACTTTCAGTTATTATAATATCAGTTCAGTTTGAGCTTTCAGTTATGTTATTACCTTACATACTCGGTACATTATTCCGTACTGACGTCCTTTTTCTGGGGATGCTGCATTTTATGCGTGCAGGTTCAGATAGACAGACGGGTAGACCTCCTCAGTAGGTGTTTCCCGAGTTCAGCCTGGTCCGTAAGCTCCACGTCCTTCGGAGTTATCGGGTCTAGTGTTTCTTATACATCTTCTGTATGTATGTATATATGTTATGGGTAGGTCGTGGCCCTGTTCTGATCACAATACATCCATCAGTAGAGGCTTGTAGACATATCCTGTCAGCTAGTGCAGTATGTCAGGCTTGTATGCCTGATATGTATATTTTATTGATTTGTCAGCTGTAGTAGTTATGACATCTTGTCGGCCCATCTTTATATAGATGTCTAGTCAGCGCTAGTTTCTGTTTAGTTTTATATTTTTCTTTGCAAAGTGTCTTGCAATGTGGTCCCATGGCCAAAATATGACATTATATGTTCAGAGTCCCTTAGTCGCAAGTTGGTACATTAGATTAGGTGAGGCATCGGGTGCCGGTCTCGCCCCCCAGGTTCGTGGCATGACAATTTCTGTAACCTTTGTTCCTTGATTTGGAAAGTCCATGTGACTTGGTTGACTACAAGTTGGGAATCACAACGTAGTATTAACCGTTTTGCTCCATACTTGAGTGCCAGCCTTAACCGTGTAATTTTGGCCTCATACTCGGCCTCGTTGTTAGTCATATATTTGGGCACCTTATGGACTGGCGAATCACTTCGCCGATTGGGATTTCGAGTACGAGTCCCAGTTCGGACCCTGGCACGTTAGACGCATCGTCGGTGTACAGGACCCAGAGGTATTGTGTTTGAGGAGAAACGTGGGCGGCTTCTCTTTTAACTACGGGCATTACTTTTGCGCTGAAGTTGACGACAAAGTCAGCAAACAATTGTGACTTTATTGCCGTTCGCGGTTGATATGTGATATTGTTCTCGCTCAGTTCGATGGACCATTTGGCCAACCTTCCCGACAACTCAGGTTTATGCAAAATGCTCATTAGGTTAAAAATCGTGACGACCGAAATGGGGTGGCACTGGAATATGGTATAAGATTTCGTGTAACTACGACTAAGGCCAGGGCCTATTTTTCGAGATAAGGGTACCTCGTCTCGGCATCGACTAATATTTTGCTAACGTAATAGATGGGAGACTACGTACCTTTATTTTCTCAAACCAAGACTGCGCTTACAACTACTTCGGATATAGCAAGGAAAACGAGGAGACGTTCCCCTGGCTCTGGTTTTGAAAGTAATGGTGATGATGAAGGTACACTTTCAACTCCTTCAGGGCCTGGACACACTCAGAAGTCCATTGGAAGTCGTTATCCTTTTTGAGTACGCTGAAAAATCTGTGACACCTGTCTGATGATCGTGAGATGAATCACGAAAGGGCGGCGATATGGCCTGTCAACCTTCTGAACCTAATTTTTGGTGGTCAAGTGTTCTGGTATCCCCTCGATGGCTTTGATTTATCAGGATTGACCTCGATTCCTCATTGTGATACCAGGAAACCCAGAAATGTTCCTGATGCCATACCGAACACGCATTTTTTGGGGTTTAGTTTCATTCCGTATCGTCTGAGTATGTCGAAGGTTTCTCTCAGATGGTCGATGTGATCTTCTTTCTTTTTGGACTTGACTAGCATGTCGTCTATGTAGACTTTCATTGTTTTGCCGAAGGGCATGACCTTGTAGCAGTACGTCCCCTGTTGAGTGACGAATGTGGTTATCTCCTGATCTTCTTCTTCTATGAGGATTTGACTGTAGCTTGAATAGGCGTCCAAGAAGCTCAATAGTTCATGCCCGGTCGTTGAGTCGATGAGTTGGTCGATGTGGGTTAATGGGAACGAATCCTTGGGGCATGCTTTGTTCAAATATGTGAAATCCACGCATATCCGCCATTTCCCATTCTTCTTTTTCACCATCACCACGTTGGCGACCCATTGGGGATACTTCGACTCCCTGATGGAGATATTTTCCAATAGTTTCTCCACCTCTTCTCGTACTGCATCATTAATCGCGGAGTTGAACTTACGCCTAACCTACCTCACCGAGGGGTATAATGTGTCGACGTTCAATTTATGCGTGGCGATTTCCTTCGGGATACCCGACATATTTGCATGGCTGAAAGAAAACAAATCTGCATTAGTAGTTAAGAATTGACAGAATTTACCTGGTTGCTGAAGTATACAATCGATGTAAGCTTTCTTGATGTGATCGTTGTTGTCCAATTGAACGGGGTCGAGGTCTTCTATGGACGATTCCGTAGCTTCGACCATGTCAGGGTCTATGATCTTGTCTTTGCTATCATCACATATCAACCTCGACCCTACTGATTGCTATGCCTCTTCTCCTTGGTCCTTCGCTTGTTGAGTGGTTGTGCAGTCTAGAGCGATGTGGTAGCATTCTTGGGATGTGCGTTGTTCCCATCTTATGCTGAATATCCCTTAGGGAGTCGGGAATTTGATGACCTGGTATAAGCTAGAGGGGATGTCCCTCATAGTGTATATCCATGGTCACCCTATTATGGCGTTGTACGTTGTGTCTTGGTCCATGATGTGGAATGTGGTTTCTAAAGTGACGCCACCAAGCGTGATTTCCCCTGAAGTTCGCTCAACTGCATTGTCAAAACCAGATAGCATGATATAACACGATATTATCTTATTTTCGAGTTTCATTTGTGCAAGTACTCGAGGATGGATAATGCACGCGCCACTTTCATCGTCTACTATAATGTGTCTCACATAGGTATCTAAAATTTGTAAAGTAATAACAAGGGCATGATAGTGAGGGAAAACCAAACTATTAGTGTCTGACTTATCAAAGATGATACTTTCTTCGAGTTCGTCGTACCATTCGTAGGTGATCGACTGTTTAAGCTTGTGGGTAGTGGTTAAATTTACGCTGTTGATAGAAGCATCTTCGCCACCGCCGATGATCATGTGGACGGTGGGGGTTGGTGAGGGCAGGTTCGGCGGCCCTTGATGTTGTTCGCTCCCTCTGCCAAAGTTGGTCCTTCCTCGGTCGCTCAACAACTCTTTGAGGTGTCCCTGTCGAAACATGTTTACGACCTCCTGCCTTAGGGTGATGCAATCTTCGGTTTTGTGCCCTGGTTCTTGATGGAACTCGCAAAGGGTATCCGATTTTCTGGTATTCAGATCTAACCTTAACTTTTGTGGCCACTTTACCTTTGTTCCGAGCTTCTCCAAGGCGTAGACTATTTCTCTAGGTGACACACAAAAGTTGTGAGCAGATAGCAAAGACGGCATACCTCTTTCGTTCCGATGAGTCCCTGTCCTTGATCTGGGTGGGCCTTCTTCATGGCGGGAGGGGGGACAATGGCCGCTCTAACATATGGTTGATGTCATTCCTTGTTGGGTCGTGAAGCAGCGAGGTCCCTTCTGGTATCATTTCTTCGATCTTTTCTGGATTCGGCATGTACAGAGATTAGTCGATGAGTTGGTCCATTGAGGTCGTCCTCGTCTGCTCCGACCTCGGCACAATATGCATTGTGTATTTCATCCCAAGTGGTTGGGGTATACTTCATCAGTCGACTCAATAGCTTTCTAGTTGCCCTCGAACCGTCCCTGCTCAGCCCGTTATGGAAGGCTGTGACTGCCATCCCCTTTGACACATTCAGTAGGGTCATCCTCACTCGATTGAAACGGGAGAGGAAGTCCCTCAGCCCCTCTCCTAGAAATTGCTTAATAGAAAATATGTCGTTTACTCTTACCTAGGATTTCTTGGCCCAAGCATGGGCCGTTACGAACTTGCCAACCATCTCTTCGAAAGTTTCAATGGAGCACGCAGGTAGTTTGCAATACCAGGTCAACGCTCCTCCCGTGAGGGTTTCACCGAATTTCTTCAACAAAATGGAGGATACTTGTTCTTTGGCGAGATCGTTGCCTTTCACGGCGGTGACATAGTGAGTCACATGATCTTCAGGGTCGGTCATGCCATCATATATTTTTAGGTAGGGCGGTATTTTGAAGGACATCGGTATGACATGCAGGGTTGCATTGTCGTTGTATGACTGCTCGACAAATCGGCCGTCATCTCTTTTCGGCAACAGTTTGGGGGCGCCCGGTATTTTATCGACCCTTTCCTGGTGTTTTTTCATTTGATCTCGGAGTTTCTTGTTCTCGTTGTCCATTTGCTCCATCATTTTCAAAATGCTTGCAAGAGCATTATCACCTGCATTATCAATGGTGTTATGAGTAATACCTGCTGTTGGAGGTGGAGGGAGTTGGTCACATTGTTCATTCGCCCGTTGCACAGTGCAAATCCTTGCATTTTTCACAGCCGTATCTCGGGCAGACTTGTTGAGGATGCCAACTAGCGTGTCGATGAGCCATGCTTCGAGGAGCTTTTTTACATCTGGGGGCGTCTTTTCCCCCACACATGTGGAGGCTCCCTTACCAAGAGATTTTGTGATGCTGTAGTGAGGAAGGGGTGACCCATCTCGCCTAGGGGAGGCGTTGGGCGTTGCGTCTTCGTACGTTGTTTCACATCTCTCATTGATGACGTTTATGGGGTTGGTTGGGAGGTTACTTATTATTCTCGCCCTTTCTTCTCTGTTACCTGCCATATTGGATTTGTGCATACAAAGAAAGAAGATCTTATTCTTGCTTTTTTTTTTACGTCACCGATCCATGTTAGTTATAGATCTAGAAGAAACTATAAATTTAACTAGGAAATTCCCACATACGACGCTAAATTGTTTGACCAAAAAGTATGACTTTCGGCTAAAAGAGTTAAGTTTGTATAATAATGGGTTAAACCTATTTAAAGTAGTATCTCTAGATGTGAGTTTAGAAAACGTGAGTAACATTAGACATATCTAGAAATGTGTTGACTATAACATACATTGACTGTTCTGAAAAGTGTGAGCAATAATGGGGGGAGAACTAATAATAAAGAACATTAAATGACATTTAAGTAAATAGGATAAGTGGTTCACCCAATAAAGGATGAACTAGATGATTGTCCCTCCTGACAATGATGAATGGCAGATAAATCCTCGAATGTTCAAATTATTCTCAGATCTGATGGAAAAGTATGGAATAATATGAACAAGAATCTTGACAAAAAGGTAGTATTTGTATTTTTATAAGAGAGAGAGAATCTTTTATCAAAAGTCCGTTCTTATCAAATAAATGTTCCATGCCCTACATTATTGTCTCTTTTTCTATATATATATATATNTACAAGTACAGAGAATATCCTCTAAAATATTCTCTTTAATATCCCATTTTGAAAACTAGCAGTTACAACTCTGCTAATGGCATTTGATCTCGCCCGTTGTTGACATCTCGACCACAAACCTCGCTGCTTCCTGATCGACCTCGACTGACCCATTCCTTTGTGCTTTATTGCACTAAATATTTAAGGGCAGATTTCGACCTATACAGAATTGAATTCATAATTTTAAAAATGCGCCAAGTTTAATCCTACGCAAAAGAATTTAAACATCATAATCATGAAACTTAGATTTTAAATTTGTTGTGAATACACACCAGAGGTGGGTGTTAGGGCATCTCCAACCCTCCCCCATTTCTCCATAATGCAACTCCTTTTTACCAAAATGTGGCTCCAATGCTCTCCCATTTTTGCCCCCAAAATGGGGGATAAATAGTGTTACTTCAAAATGTGGCTCTAATGCTCCCCCATTACTATTCACCCATACTTTATTACTCCCTCCGTCTCAATTTATGTAAACTCATTTGACTAGGTACGGAGTTTAAGAAAAGAGAGAAGACTTTTGAACTTGTGGTGTAAAATGAAGCATATATTTTTGGTGTGGCTATAAATCATTGTATAAAGGTAAATTGTTTCCAAATAAGGAAAGGGGCCATTCTTTTTGGCACGGACTAAAAAGAAAATAGGTTCACATAAATTGAAACGGAGGGAGTATTATTTTTGGCAAAATACATAAGTTACCCCTGAACTATGGACCAAATATCTGTTACACACTTTCTGACCACGGAAATCATATTACACACTCAACCTTTCGAAAGTGTATCAAAGACACCCCACTTTTTTCTTGACCATTTGTCAAAACATTTGTGAAGTCACGCACCAATAAAATCGTGACACGTGTTATTATTTTTATTAAAAAATAAAATACTTAAAATTACCCCGAACCCTTCTCTTTTCCATCTCTTTTTGTCCCCCCTCGCATCTCCATTGCCGCCGACTGTACTAGAACCACCACCTTCAAACCAAAAATTAGGAGCCTAACTAGATTTAGTCCCAAGTTTTAGATTTTAAATTCAGATCTAACACACACAAAAATATAAAAAAACAAGACCCAAAACTCAAAACTCAAAACCAGAAAAGATGTTATGGTTGCCCGATTCACCGGCATCCTCTCTGACCAGAAAACCACCCAATTAATAATTTTCTTGACAATAGTGACTGATGTTGACCATTTTTTGTGATAGAGGATAGATTTAAGTGTAAATATTGGCTGCAAAATGAAAAATCCATAACTAAGAACATCAAAATTATCCTCTACAAACTAACACTTTAAATGGTGGTTCTGCCATGGATGAAGCTAAAAGCTAAAACAATTATACGAATGTAGCTGAGAATTAGGAAGAAACAACTGATTAAATATTGTGTGTAGAAGAAGAAGATGAAGAATCCTAAGTTGGAAACTATTTGATAAAGCAAGAAAGCCATGGAAACCGGGGGATCCACCGATCAGTGGACTTAGTAGGATACTATGTCCTTTCGTCAGCAACAAGGTACAGAAGATGATTAAAAAAATGAAAAGGCTTTAGAAACAAAAAAATTACTATTCACTCGCCTCCTCTAAGTGTAAAACACTCGCGTGCCACGCTAAACAGGTGTGTACTAGATACACTTTAAAAAGATTGAGTGTGTAAAATAATTTTCGTGGTCATAAAGTGTGTAAAAGAAATTTGGTCTATAGTTTGGGGGATAACTTATGTATTTTGCCTATTATTTTTATTATTTAACTCTTTTAATATATCTTTTTATATATACCTAATTATGTTTATGTAATATATTTATAATATTAATTTTACATCTTAACTTTGGCGTATAATTTTGATAATTTTACATAAGTCATAACAGTGCATGGCTCTTTGTTGAGATATGGAAAGCCAGGGAATTTATTAAACTATAAGTCGCATAAAAAATGTGGTGCGACCTGTTAATTTTTTTTTTATTTTTTTTGGCTTTTTTGAAACAAAATAAAAACACCATACAAAGGGACACGCCCCACGTATCATATTTTCAACCAAAAATATGAGGAGAATAAAACTTAGTCAAGAGAGTAATTATTTCTCACGTATATAGCAAAGGGCGTTTTGGTCACTAAGCAAACTGGCCATCGAACTGTCATCAATCAGCTGAGTCAGTCATGGAAATTAAAGAAAACAACCTTATGTCTAGCTACTTCCTTTTTATTTATATATCAACCAACAAACATATTTTTCTCTTTATTTACCTGCCTTTCATTTCATTTCCATAAAAAGCTCAAAACAGTATTTCCCCCCCTCTGCTCTCCTTCTTTCTCCCTCTCTGGCCAATAAGAATTTAAGATACAGAGAAGTGGTTAGTCGTTGCTTCCCCTTTTAGAGCAAAAAGAAGTACCATTTGTTGATCATTTTCAGAAAAACAAAGCTTACTAGTATTCCAAGATTTTCTAGTATTGTTCTAACAAAGAAAAGTTCACACTCCATGTGAACACTAGCTAGTCTTCTCACTCTCACATCAATCTCTTCATCATCATCAAACTATATATCTTCAATTCTTTTTCTCTTTTTCTACTTCTAGTAGGGTACTTCTCTCTTTTTTTTCGGTGTATTACAATTTTAGAACTTGTGACAGTAGTAATTCGTCACAAGTCTTGACTTTTAATTTCTTACTCAGTGAGAAAATTAGGCATAGAAAAACTTTCACAAGAAAAATACCTAATCCATGGCTTCTTTCACGGAAGTAGAGAGTTCCAACTTCCACATCAGCATCCCCCAGAACAATAACGACGACAACAACAACAACGATGTTAATGTTGGAAGTACTACTGCTTCTTCTTCTTCAACGGCGTCTACCTCAAGTAGATACGAGAATCAGAAGCGAAGAGATTGGAACACTTTCGGACAATACCTAAAAAACCATAGGCCTCCACTCACGCTCTCCCGCTGCAGTGGTGCTCACGTCCTAGAATTCCTTCGTTACCTTGATCAATTCGGCAAGACTAAGGTTCATATTCCGGTAGGAATATATTCTCTTATTATACTTTTTTTAATCAATTGAAAAATAAGTGGGCGTTTAAACATCAGAATTGTGAAATTCCTAATAAAAGTGAAAAAAAAAAGTGAAAATGATATTTGAAAATTAGAATTGTGAATCTCTTTGGGATGACTAGTTGATTTGGAGGGCGGTCATACATACAGATGGCCCCTTCAATGACTTCTGGGTCAAGCATGTCGCACATGGTTTGCCTAGTGCGGTTTACATTCTATGTGTGTTTTGTAGGCTATTACACAGAGGGTTTACCTTCGGGCAAAGTCTGTAGCGATTGTGAGTTTTACTCGGATTCCAAAATAAAAATTAGAGTCTGTGTTTGGACATAAATACAATTTTGAAAAATAATTTTTAAGAATTTATCATATTTCCTATAAATAAATTAACTTCAAGAGAAATTTCAAATTAAAAAAAAAAAGTGAAATTTTTTATGGCAAAACGAGCCCTAAGGTTGATTGTTGTTTTGACAGATGTGTCCTTTTTATGGTCACCCAAATCCTCCAGCACCATGTCCGTGCCCGGTTAAGCAAGCTTGGGGGAGCCTTGACGCACTCGTTGGTCGTCTTAGAGCTGCTTTTGAAGAAAATGGAGGAAAACCTGAGACGAATCCGTTTGGTGCTCGAGCTGTTAGGCTTTACCTACGTGAGGTTCGTGATTTGCAATCCAAAGCAAGGGGAGTTAGTTATGATAAGAAGAAGAAGAAGAAAAAGCAGAAACTCTCTCCGCCACCGCAACAGTTGCCGGATACACACTCAGGTGACGGTTAACGTAATGCTTTTACCAGCATTTAAATGGTGTTTCTCTTCTTTTACTTCTGCTAGCCACATCCTATATCGATCCAAAGCATAGATTTTGGGTTGTACGGTTTCCATCTTTTCTTGTAGATGCAAAAGAGTTAATTACTCTAGTGGACCTTTTCATCAACGGTAAAGTTACAAGCTGTGAAAATCATTTAGGATATCATTTAGGATAGATTGGTTACAACATGCTTCCCCGCAACAGTACTGGTGCTCACATATTAGAATTCCTTCGTACCTTGATCAATTCATTAGCTTGAAAGTTCAGTTTAATTGTTTTTTGAAAATTGATGAAATTGTGTTTGGATATATATTTAACTTAGAGAAAAATTAAAGTTTGAATTGATTTTCTCCTTTACCTGGCTAACATATAGTATTATGCTTTAGAAGCACTTTGATATTTTTCTAATTACTTGGTTTAAAGGGAGAAGCATAGGCTTTCTCTCTTTAGCCTATGCTTTGACACTTTTTTACAACAACAAAGTATAATTCCACAAGTAGGATCTAATGAGGGTAGAATGTGCGCAGCTTTATCCCTACCCTGGAAGGGTAGAGAGACTATTTTCGATAGACTCTCGGCTAAATAAAAGACCTAAGAAGCACTAATAACAAGTAATAATTAATAACGAGACAATATATTTAGAAAATTAAAGCCAAGATAACAATAAAGACTATGAAAGAAGTACTGATAGCAAGTAACAACAATACAAAGTTATGTAGTGAGAGCAAACTAAGGGAGTATACGGGTGGTAAGTAACGACAATACAAGATATGCGATAATAGCAAGTCAAGGATAAAGGACTAGCATTAATAGTATTGAACTAGTGAAGTCAAGCTAAGGTATGCTTAACACTTTTTTACTCTTTTAAAATTATTTAGTGGGGAATATATGAAGCAAAATTTTGACAGATAAAGATATATTCCTATAATCACACTACTAATCGTCTCAGATTATCATAGGATGATTTAATAAAATGGTTGACTTGGGTATGACTTTCTTGACCTAATTACCTAGTCTTAATGTGTATGCCATCTATTCAGCTCACTATCTTTTGGTTCTGTTTTTTTCTGCATCTTCTAAAAGATAAAAGGTACGCTACCATTTGAGTTATATGACTATCTGCTACGGTGCTACCTTGAGGTCGCGCAAAACCATCGGACAAACTTGAGCTTCCATCAGTGGCGAAACCAAAAATTCTAAAAAGAATTAATCACCATATATGCTTTAGTTCCAATTTAGCAGGACTGCACGCAACTACTCACTCGTGAGCTTTATGAATGATGCTTATGCATGTCAAGACCAATAAAAATAGATCAACTTCCCAGGTTTAATGTTATTTGAAATCAAATGTCAGGAGCGAAATAACCTAGCTCCAAGATGCATGCAGCAGTCACTATCAGGAACAAAATCCTGTCTCCTATAAAACGTTGAAAGCATACGAATATAATACAGTGGTTAAAATAAGAAAGATTAACGTTGTAAAGTTGTTGGAATCTTGTGAGAATCATCTTTTTTTTTTTTCAACACTTGATCTTATTCTTACACACATGAAATTTGTACACTGCAGTGAACGATAACTTGCTATAATTTTTTTTTAATCATCTGGTATTCGAAATCAATTACGGTTAAAAAGCCTCTCTACCAAGAAAATTTTCAATCCGAAATTTTTTGATTAAGGACGGGGAGATTTTAATCATCCCATGACACTCCTTGATGGTAGTAGACTAATGTTCTTCTTATGCTATATTCGTCACCATTAGGGGTGTACATAAGTCGGGTTGGTTCGGATTTTTCAATTATCAAACCAAACCAATAGTGTCGGATTTTTAAATTTATAAACCAAACCAAACCAACAAAGTTGGATTTTTCAATCTCGATTTTTCGGGTTTTCGGGTTTTTTTCCGGTAAAATCTTCATAGCATAAAATATGTAACTTGTGCTCCAAATATTTCTTAAGTCCTAATAAAATACAACTATATAATGTATTTTCCAAGAAACTAACACAATAATATGAGATAAGTCATAGAATTATACTAAAAGATTCAATAATAAAATTACATAAAATAAATATTGCTAATTAATAAGCCATAATAAAAATTAACACAATCTAAAAATGCTATATAAGTCATGCTAAAATAAGTATAGCTAATAAGTACTAATATTAATTACATAACTAAGCACTAAAGAAAAAGATAAACTAAATTATGCATTTTCATTATAAACCAATGTAAAACTAAAATAATTATCCAACACTATCGTCGTTCCAAGTATTGAATTGAATTTATTTTGTTAGCATTAGTATTGATCGATTTGAACTTTGTTTGAGTTACTACATTAATGAGCTATAAAATTTATGTACCATTCAAAAATGTTAAGTCTAAACTTGAAATAATACGTTAAAAGATAAAACTGTAAATACGTTTAAGAAATATTTATAAATTACATTACAATAAATATTTATATGTATAAAATATTTTTAAAAATTATATAAATATACTATCGGGTTGGTTTAGTTTCGGTTTGACTTTTTTAGTTAAAACCAAACCAAACCAAACTAATTATGGTCGGGTTTTATTTTCCAATGCAAACCAAATCAAACCAAACCACATTGTTTTTTTTTTTCGGTTTGATTCGGATTATCGATTTGGTGTGATTTATCGATTTTCTTTGTACACCCCTAGTCACCGTTATCGACGTGAAAGAGTTTTTTCGGAAAATATGTCTGGACAAATTTGGTAACATATTAATCTAGAATAGGTTGGTGCTTACACAAATTTGTCACTTTCCCTGACGACTTTATGAAATTTTATCATGGTACGACTTCCTATCTAACAAAATAATGTTACTCCGCATCAAGTTTTAAGAATAGATGGACGAACCTGAATGCTATAAAAAAATTGGTGATCCTGAAACGTGGAAAGAGAGAATACACATAAAACCCAAATCTTGCAACAATATTACCATTATGTACTGTTCTGCAGTAAGCGACAGAACGTCGAAGCTCGTCTTTACAGTAAATTTTTTCAACTGTTTCTACATAAAGGAAAGAGGCCTCTTTTACGTAGAAATTTATTAGGACATACATATATATATATATTCATTTCTGCTACAGTCCTTAAGCCACAAGGACTGACACCGCGCATGGGCAAGATCAATGGTTAGAGGGTTTCTTTTACATGCATTATTTTTCATTTGGTATTTAGTACTTCCAGCTTTGACACCCAACTAACTCGAATTCAGGCCGAGAAACACTTTTTACTAAAGGCAATTCAGGACTCAAACTAAAAACTTATTAGACAAATAGTTATCACTTCATCATAATCTTGATAATATATGCATCGCACTGGATAAAGGTTTAGCTGTTAAGGTGTCAATAATGTAGGGGTTCTGCCAGAAAAGGATATAGGAAAAATTATGTGACATAACAAATATATACATTGTATGTATTATTCATATTTATACATTTAGAAAATTATCATTAATAGCTATATTTGAATTGTATAGCAAATCCACCTATAGTTCTAAAATAATAGATAAGTTGTTATTATCCAAAACAAAAGAGCAATAAACTTTTATAGCTTAGTTGCTCAGAGCAAGTACTTAGTAGGCCAAGGTTTTAGTGAGCGTTTGGACATAAAATAGTAAACTTTCTTAAAAAAGTGACAAACTTTTCATGTGAAAAATAATATTTGAAAAATAGAATTGTGTTTGTACATAAATATAATTTTGGGTTATTTTAAAATTTTGTAAGCGTGAGTGAAAATTTTGAAAAATAATTTTTTTGGAGTTTTTCAAAATTTCAAAATTTTTTATTTTCAAATAAAAATTAAAAATTTTATGGCTAAACACTGATTTTGAAAAAAAATAAAAAAAATTCTTATGTCTAAGCATGCTCTTAAATTCGACTGGCAACGAGAGTATTCTATTTTTATTTATTTTACGTGTCGATTACAAATGATATTGTAGTGCTTTATTCCTCAAGAATTTACTACGAGTTGGAGTAGTGGGCTTGGTACGACAATCCTGCAATGTGCGGTCAACTTGATGGGACGTTCCATTTGACAATAGAGTAGGGACACTGTACATAATTCCACGTGCAAATCTGTCATTCATGTCGGGTACAGTAAATCCGTACCCGATTCCTGCTGAGTGGGCCGGACGTTTTTCCCGATCCAATCCAATCATGGACTTTAGGTCTACAGTCCAAAATGAAAGACCCTCGTGGCTAGCTATTACCTCCTCATTTCTCTTTTGAGTCTGGACCGTACAAATTACAATGTACAAGAAGTCTCCATAGTATGGTCCACATCAAAAGCAAGCAAAGCCACTGTTCGTTGCCAACCCAAAAGTGGATCTTAACATAAAACACTGAGATTCGTGGGCCCCTTCTTCACCTTCGACTTTGATCGGTAATATGTGAAATAATTTGACAAATAATCATTTTTCTGACCTGAATTTGTAATTAAGCATTAGGCCTCATTTGTTTTTTAAGATTAAGAAATTTGAATACACATCTTAATGTATTTCAGATTAAGATATCTAAATCTGAATATACATCTGGATATCAAGATGTGTATTAAGATTAAGACATATGAATCTGAATACACATTTGTGTATGTGTCGAAATCTACTTCAGTACTTGGGATTAAGCAGTATCGAGAAAGGAGTCGGCCGAGGTCGACTAGGAGATGACAAAGACCCTGGTCGAGATGCGGAAGATAGTCGATGTCAAACACCGTAAAAAGAGCTGTAACGGTTTGTTTATTAGGGCAGGATTTTAAAGAGAATATTCTTTGTAATTATACTATTAGGGTTTATCGGGGGTATGTCCCATATAAATAGGAAAAAAGATAATGAATTGAGGCATGTGATATTCATTGTGATAAGAGCACACTTTATAAAATATTCCCTCCCTCTTGAAAAGATACAAAGAACACCTTTTTACCAAGATTCTTATTTACATTATCCTGCACTTTTCCATCAGATTCGAGAAGATTTCGAATGTTCTAAGATCTGTCTGTCACTCATCATTGTCAGGAGGAATAATCACCTAGCTCATTATTTATTGGGTGAATCGCTTCTCCTATTTACTCAAATGCCATTTATTCCTATTTATTATCAGCTCTTCTTCCATTATTGCTTCTATTTTATGACTATTTAATGCTTATTATTGCCAGCCCCTCCTGGATCTGTCCCAACTCACACACGCTTTCAAAACTCACACTTAGATATTATCATTAACTAGGTTTAACCCATTATTACATAAATATAATAGTTTTAGTCGAAAATTATACTTTTTGGTCAAACA